GTACACCGTGTATACGCAGTGGGTCCAGAACTTGGGTAGGGCCCCTTCTTGCAAGAAGTGGAGGGTCTGGTGGGGGAAGACATATATCTAAACAGATTATTTCCGAAAATATTTTATCCACAGTGTCTCTTCTCTTAGCAGCAAGATGATTGCACTGTACCTGTTGTTCCCAGAACATCTTTTTTGGCGGTAATAAACCAGAACGACATCATTTTGTCCACTAGGAAATACATAGTGCCTTGGGCCTTAGGAATATTTCATGGGTCTACAAATATGTGTGTGTGTGCGCTAAAATACAACAAGAACACAGCAAATTGAAAACTCTAAATTGTAAATTAAATGTCTATAGAACATGTAATGTTAACCTGTTTTGAAATTTAATGGTTCTCAAACTTGACTGTGATCAGAATTACTGGGGGCTATTAAAGCAGATGGCTGAGTCCCATCACAAGAGGTCATGACTTAGTAGGTCTTGGTTGGGCTCTAGAACGTGCATTTCCAACAAGTTTTCGGTAACGCTACTTAATGTTGCCAGTCTGGAGACTGCATTTTGATAACCAACAATCTGAGAATGTTAATTCACCTTTTTTGGCTGAAGCAGCCAGGTAACACCATTAACTGAATTAAGATATTCAGGGGCAATTCGAAGGAGTAAGAGGTAGAAAAGTGGATAAATTGGCCTTTTCAAGGAGACAGGAAAAGGCCATCAAAGCCAGACCTACAGAGACTCTTTTTAGTATATTTCAATAGAATGTGAATGTGACTCAGCTTTACCTGGGCAGGTGAGAACTTGTAAAAGATAAACATTCTCTGTAATAAGTGGTAGTATATGCGCTGGTAATGTGAGTTACCTAAACTTGGATCAGTTCCTAGTACAGAACACCCAGGAAACACCGAGAAAGCTTATATGAACAGGAGTATATGACCATACTCACTCGTATCAACCTTTCAGTTTAGGAGTTGAGAACTAACATGTATTTTCTTTTATTTTTTTTATTTTTTAAAGATTTTAATTAATTTATTTATTTGTCAGAGAGAGAGAGCAAGCGCACAAGCAGAGGGAGAAGCAGGCTCCCCACTGAGCAAGGAGCCCCACGTGGGACTCGATCCCAAGGACCCTGGGATATCACGACCTGAGCCAAAGGCAAACGCCCAACCAACTGAGCCACTGAGGGGTCCTGTGTTTTCTATTTCTAATGGTTTCCAAGCTTCCTGGATCAGCTCTGTTCTTTTGCTCCTTAGTGTCCCTCGATAAATGGCCCCTGAGGCACTATAGAGCCCTACCATTTTATGAAATTCTCACTTAGGAAACATGGCAAATAACTGATGATGGCAAATAAAGGCAAACGACACCTCTAGTGTACATTTACTACTCAGAACATGCTCAGAAAAAAAAAAAAGTGGAAAAAGGAATGTGAAAACCTGCTTTTGCATTTCAAACACCTTCCAAAAGTTGGCTGGCCAATTATGGCTCCTTGTAAGTTCTAAACAAAGGGCGGAGGGGGTCTCATTTTCCTCATACAAACCTTGATGATTCCAGATGACTCAAATTAATTCTTTAGTATAGAGGTCTTCCATATGATTCTCATATTACCAGAAGCCTACGACTCTCTTTGGATTGGAAAGACACCAAATCTTTGGCAATTTTCCCAATAAAATTATAAATACATATTTGTTCCAAGTCTGCTTCTTTTACTTGCTACGATAACCAGCACAGAAAACTAATCACCCCCAGACCTTATTGCCTGGACATTATGTAGAATCGTGTCACACCAGAAATTAGACTCCAGCCATTCCAGCTCTCTGACGCTCTTGCTACTGGTGCTTATGCTCTTTGATTGACACACAGTAAGTCAGTTCTTTCAACTCTGCGGCCAACTCCTGACCTTCCTTCCTTCCTTTGCTGAGTCGGGATTCCATGCAGGACTACCTGGGTCCATCGTACTCGAAGTAGCCTCTGTGGACAGCAGTACGGGTATTGTCTCAGAGCTTGTTAAAACTGCAGAATCTCAGGCCCCATCACGTGGACATTTTGGAGTAATTTTATTTTTTAATTTTTTTAAAGATTTTATTTATTTATTTGAGAGAGAGAATGAGATAGAGAGAGAGCATGAGAGGGAGGAGGGTCGGAGGGAGAAGCAGACTCCCTGCCGAGCAGGGAGCCCGATGCGGGACTCGATCCAGGGACTCCAGGATCATGACCTGAGCCGAAGGCAGTCGCTTAACCAACTGAGCCACCCAGACGCCCCATTTTGGAGTAATTTTAAGAAGATCCCCAGGTAGTTTGTATGCATATGTGGTTAAAATGCCCTGACCTCAAATTTTTTTTTTTTTCTACGAGTTTCCTTGACTCTCCTGTACTTCCGTCTCCCCGCCCCCGCCACTCACTCATGGAAAGCCAGTCCTGATGAGGTTCCTTATCATGTTGAAATTACTTTTTTATATTGATCTCTAGGCTTCAACAGTCTTTTGTGAGCAGGTATCATCTTATCTTCCTAATCCTAGCTAAACGCTGTACCTAGCACATGCTGGTAGCGCAGTTAATATTGTTTGGATTGAAGTTCTTCAATTTAATTGCTGCACAGGACATGAAACTAAGTACTGAGGTACTAATAACTGACAGCTGGTTGAAGAACTACCTTTTTGAACATTCTTGTATTTTAACTGGATTCCAGAGGGACATACATGGATTTAACCTAAATCATTCATAATGCTGGTGCTGGGAGTTTTTGAGAAGTCAGCCAACTGAGTGAAAGTAATTTTGGGGGCAAGTGACTTCAGCTCCTCAAATTTCCTGCCACCTCACCCATCATCAGCGTGTTCCAAATGAAAGAACTCTTGAGTGTTTCTGGACTGGCTGAGTGGCTTTCAAAGTGTCTTCTTCCCTGCAGGATTCTAAACCCCAGTATCTCCAAATAGCCAGACACATGGTTCACATGAAAGACCTGGGCATTCTTGAAGTTTGTGGAACAAGAAAGAGTAGGTCGGGGATGAACAGGAATATTCGAATACGTTTCCTTGTAATTGCTTGTCATCACTGGTCTTCCTCACCCGACTGAGTCGTCAGAGTAGGGGTCCCTATCCCTTGCACAAAGAAAGCCCTTGCGAGGCAACTTGTGTGCAGACAGAGACATTTAGTCCATTCGGGGGATAGCACGGTTTTAAAGCATTGCTCGTGGAATGTCTAAATGCAAGTGCTACCAGTTTGGATTAAACCAGCAAGGCGGTACCCATGTTAACCCCTCAGTGCTAAATCTCGAGAGATCGAGAGTAACCATCAACTTTCACAGTGAACCACATCAGTATTTTGGGGGTTACAGATGCCTTTCTTACTACCCCAGCTCCGTCAGAGAAGAGAAATTAAGCAACTATGGCACTGTTTTATCAACGAATTTATCAAGAGTCCTGCCTTCCCCTGCATAATGACTAAGTGCCTCACAAATGCCTTCTCTAACACGTATTTGTAGAGGATAGAACATTAGCTGCAGATTTAATGTCACCGTGGTTGTCATTTGCACATGCCTGAGAAGTTAACATAATGTCGAAATGTGAAATTAAACTGGGGGACTATGAGCAGCGGTCCTGCTAAGATCCATTTCTCTATTCTCATTATCTTACCTCTTGGTTTGTTGTGTTTGCTGCTTTCTCCCATTACTCACAAAACTGTCAAATAAGTCCCCGAGGATGCACAAGCACAGGGCTTCTGGAAAATAGTGTTTCAATAGTTTACATAATGGGACCAATGAAGCCAGTGTGTTCTCCATTGTAAAAAAGCCAGTGTTCTCTTGCTTTGTTAATTGACCCTCAGCGTTAGAAGGAAAAGGGCAAGGGTGGATGGGAAACAGAGTAAGAAAGCAAATTATCAGGGGACTGATGTGTAGGTTTTTCTGTTTCAATGATGCTTACAGAGAATACATGAAACTTAATGACACTGAGTCCACAGTGGGAATGATCGAGGGAAAAAGGATTGACACAAAAATATTCTTATTCTAGCCAGAGAGTATAAGGAGGGAGGCAAAGTTCTTTCTTAATGCGAAGTTAGGAAAAAATAAATCAAACTACTGTGGGTAAGTCGCAGGGCACAAATTAGTTCTTCAAGTTTTGTTTGTTCATGAGCTCACAAGTGTGGTGCAATTTAATGTGCTTGTCATTGTTTTCCTTCCATTCGGAGGATGAGCCAGGGAGTGTGAAGCGGGGGACGGCACTGGCCGGCCTTGGGCACTGCCACGTACTCTTGTGGCGAGTTAGTGTGAATGCTCCAGGCATCACTTTGGAGTCTCTGGGAGGCCCCGGTGAGGCACTGTCCTCTGCATGCCTCATTAGCCGCATCTAAAGATGTGATTATCACCATCTATACATTCATCCATTCAAGGGAATGAAATAAACCTAACTGTGCATTTATCCTTACTCTTATGCGTCATTCAAACACAAGACTAGGGGTATGAAGGGCATTTTAATCATGTGTACCAGAGGACAAAATCTAATTCAGGGATGAAAACAAGTGTTTTATAATTTGGCAAATCTCTGTTGTGCTAAGTGACACCACACAGTTTGTGGCATGGCGTGAGTGGTACAAAGTCCTGCCAGGTGATTCAGCAGAACTCCTGTCCAACCTCTGAATATACATTTTATAATTATGCCTCATTTAATCTCTTCCTCTCTTCAAAGTTCCTTTCAGAAGTGGTCAGCAGGGAAATCAATTTCTAGAGCTAGGTCTTTAGTCATTAACCATAGGGTGGATTCTCATATGTATGAGATGGTTAACTCACTTGTTTGGGTCCTACTAGACTCCTCCTAATTCCATCATAATCAGATTTAAAAATATTTCCCTCTAAATCCATTTTCAGAAAGTACCGCAGATATTGTTTGACAAGACAATGAAGAAAAAGTCAGGAACAAACCCTAGGGAATGAGTGTATAGAGAAAAAGCCCCCCTTTACCATTTATAAGGAAAATATTTCTTACGTTTAAACCAAAGCAAACAGAAAGCACCTGACACATAGAGTCCTAATAAAATTTTATTGAGAACCAGTAAGTGAAATCCTTTACAGAACACAGAAATACTTATGATCCCAACCCTTCCCAGTAAATAGCAATATAACTTTTGGGTGGGTTCCCTGAATATCCCAAACACTCTGTTTTACACCTCCAGGAGAGAAAGTTCTACAACTCAGCAATAGGCAAATAGGATGCTCTGACCTATTTAGGGAAAGCAGAAGTGGAATCAGAAATCAGTACGAGTAATAAAGGACTGCCGATGAGTTCCAGCAGCCAAAGGAGTAGATGAGTAAATGTTCACTCTTCACATTCTGTATTTCAGATCAGCTAGCAGAAGGCAGGGCACTGGAAGATCAGACACAAACGAACCCGGGGACATAGGAGCAGAGTATGTCTCTCAATTCAATTATGTAGGGAAGTGGAAATGAGAAGCAAAGTGGTGTTGGATCCACTTACCTCAAACTCTTCCTACCACGAAGGCTTTGATGCCAAATAATCGGAACTGACATCAAAGATGAAAAGGAGACCAGTGACTCTAAGGATGAAAGACCAAAGAAGCCCCATGGGCTAGACGGAAGTGGCTGTGATAACGTTCCCATGTTTTCCATGGTGAAGAGTTAGCTTCTGTAATGTCTCCTCACTATGGGGACAGAAACACATGACAGGCTAGATGAACGCTGCTCAGCAAGCTTTTAAGGTTCTACTCCCAAGTCTCGGCATGGGGAGAGAAGAGATAGTGTGGAGTTTTTTGGGAAGCAACTTTTGAAAAGTTTTTTTTTTTTTTTAATAATAATAAAAAAAAGATGACAATATCTGAGGGAAAGGATGTAACAGAAAGAGAACTGCAATGATGCCTCTTCCTTTTAAAACTAAGAAAGCTGGTATAAAAGCTGCTCCGTTTCCACAATGGTATTAGGGCATTGGTCTTACTTTTATAGCTTTTGCTTGAGTTTAAAATCCTATCAAATTTTCTTACCTCTTAACCATAAAGAAAACCAACAATGGCAGGAAAAGAAAATCCTGCCAGTTTCATTAAGTCCTAAAAAGCTAAAGAAAAAAATGAGACCTGAATTGTGTTTGTATTGATAAATTTGTTAATGGATGGATGGCAGTAGTTAAACTGCAATCTAAATATATTTTTAAAAAATATCCTATTTATTTACCTGATAGAGAGATAGAAAGACAGCACAAGTAGGCAGAGCGGCAGGCAGACGGAGAGGGAGAAGAAGGCTCCCTGCCGAGCAGGGAGCCCGATGCGGGGCTCGATCCCAGGACCCTGGGATCATGACCTGAGCCAAAGGCAGATGCTTAACGACTGAGCCACCCAGGTGCCCCTAATTGCAATCTAAATATTAACAAGAATCTTACTCAGAATGTTCTTCTCCCTGCCTTGAAGTCTTCCCGGGGTTAAATTAATCAAGATGTTTGGAGATGTACCATGATTAAGTTTCCTCTGGCTAAGAGAAAGTGTGTTTTGCTCTCTTTCCCTTGGTTAGTAATTATAGTAGCTCAAAGTACAGGCACAGTCTAGTAAGACATTTAACTAAACTAAGTGGATTTTAATCTTTCAAGTTGGACACCCAGCCCAAGGCAAATTAGCTTTACTATAAATGCCACCGCAGCTCATGGGAACGGCCTGGGAGAAAGGCACAGCTCACCCGCAGCACTTCGACATCTGAGAGGCACGAGGTTTGCCCAACGGGCACGAGTCACAGAGGAATAAGCCAATCCTAGGAACTGAGCAGTGGGCTGTTTTTTTAGATCCCTCTGTCGGTAGCCTTTCAAGGGTACGACAATTTCCAATAATATAAGCTGTTTTGGTGCTGAATATGAAATAATAGGGGACTATTATCCACAGGAACCAACATATACCCAGTGGGATTTGGTTCAAAGTTAAAATAAAAATAGCATGCTTTTGTGACTGAGAAAGCCATGAAATAGGCACATTTAAAATTCTTAGACCCTGTTTTGTAAAGCTGCAAAATGTTCTAAAATCAGTCGAAACACACAGAAAGGATGAAACCAGCCTGGGAAAGGCAGTGAAGGAAGGAAGGGGAGGGGAAGCTGATGAGTCGGACCATTTATACAGAATGTGAAGCACCAGGGATCCTTCATCTACCATATAAATATAGGATCCTGATCCCGAGGGCTCAGAAATTGAGGAATTTAAGTTAAGCCTAGGATATGCAAAGAGATAGGATCTATTTGTTCTAAACATTTTCACTGGCTAATACCTCCTAAATAAACAGCATTTCTATGGAAAGCTTAGTGCTTTTGTTCAAGTTATTGGCTACATAGCCCTCCTCCCCCCTTTTAAAGAGATGTAGAGTACTGTACTATTTAGTAAAAAGACAAACATCCAGATAGATTGAAAGGAAGGAAAATATCTTATGGCTTGTACCAAAGAATGAGCACTAAAGTACAGTCACTGCCAAGGAAGTAAAACACAAGTCAAAGTTCAGAAGGTAGGGTGGACAGGATGGACTCAAATCCTAAGTCACAACATTCACATACAGAAAACTCGTCTCCTGATCTTATACTAATTCCAAAGAACAAATTTAAATAAATCGTTCAAAAATGCACTCGCTTATTTTAGAAGAAACAATAAACTTTTTGTTCGCTTACCTTGAAACTAATCTTCAAATCAGAGTTTTCAAAACCACCACTGCATTTTAGAACTTTTTGATAAAAATGCTGGCTTATAGGGCCCGGATGCTTTACTACCAAGAGGAAGCAAATCTGAAAGTATCTTTATCTCTAGTTAAACCAGCACTGTCAATTTGAAAAGCGGTATTTCGGTCCTTAAACCAGGCTGCAACTCGTGCAACTTTTGTCTCAGAAGCATATGGTTAATATTTTTGTCCCCCTTCACAATCAACCACCTAAAGAAAAACAAGTCATAAAACAGTCTGCCCTATTGGGGGAAAAATACTATAAAGGTGGAGGGCAATATCCACCAATAACCATATATTTATCTACATTTAGTTTCCTTTCAACATTTTTAGAACAGCAACAGCTAGTTATATTCATAATCTTAAGTAAGAGATTTCCTCCAAGTTCTGAAATATATATATACCTACGCCCTCAAAACACTGTACATATCACTCATCCTACCTTTAGGAAGGAATTGAGGTTAAAGTTAAGAGATTTCCTTGGATACTTTTAAGTAAAAGTAAATGACAGAACAAAAGGAACCAAAGGCAAGTTCTGAAAAACAACAACAACTCAACTCCATGGAGTACACGGTTTGACTCTCTGTTTCCTTGAAAAGCAATGAAAGCACTTAGTCCAGGTTTGATATACAGAAAGGGTCATGCAGTGCATTGCAGGGGGCAGGCTTTCCTTTTACAGTTCAAACGCAGGGAACTTGGCTTTTGTGGGCACTAGGAGGTCAGCCAGGAAATAGATGGTTCCAGCCATTCCTGAAGGAAGAAAAAGAGGCAGAAGTGATTACACCAAATGACTCTGTTCTATACGGTGGCTTCGTTCTGTAACATCAACATTGTCATACAAGCAGCAAGGGCTTCGATGCAAGGGGGGGCGTCTGCCCCTATTTGTCCATGGTGCTGGTCAACACTAGAGGAGATCACTAGCGAGGTGCTCAGTCTCTTCGTCTGGGCGGAAGACAGGAAGGCGAGCTGAACCTGAGAAGTTCAAGGCACAGCCTTGCCGTTTATCACATGTCAGCTCCTTCACATGGCACCACGGGCCACTTACCTGAGGTCCTCATTTGTGGGATGAGGATAATGACGCGTGTATGTTTTTGCTGAGCTGACTTATGATGGCGTCGGCAAAATGCCAAGCGCCTGCTTGGCTCCACAGATCGTGGTCACCAGTGTGACTACTAGGATTAGGTCTGAGAGAGTCCGTGGACTACCTGATTTTTAATACTGAGTTTTCATATTAGGAAGTAAAGAAGTAGTTCAAGAAATGACCATAAAATTAATTTGTTGATAAAGCTCAAATTCAAATACACTGATGACCAAGCAGAGAAGTAGATGCTGACATTACAAGGCAACTAAGTAAACGTGTGGGAAATACCTTCGAAGAGGGAGAAGGGGGTGTCCGGCGTTCTGCAACCGTGTTCTCCGTAATCTAAGCACCACTCAGCAAACTGAAAGTGAGACCAAGGTCAATTACTGTAGCGACTTCTTCCAGAGACCCTCCAAAGTGGATAGAAATTATCCCTAAGAATTACTCTGAAAGTCAGAAACTATCTTCAAGGCAGAAAAAAGGGGTTGACACACAGAGACAGATGGTCTGAAAGAGAGGATGAAGCACGGGAGGGAGGAATTTTATGAGCTGTCTGAGCCACTGTCTCCCAGGTTATCAAAGCAGAATTTCTTTCTTTTGTCCCGCCCGTAAATGCTGTTGAGTAGAACTACGTCCTTGTACGAGAAGGCGAATTTAACTGAATGGTTTTTGAAGGCTTTTTTTTTTCTTTTCTCTCTCTTTTTTTAAAGATTTTATTTATTTATTTGAGAGAGAGAGAATGAGAAAGAGAGCACACGAGAGGGGAAAGGGTCAGAGGGAGAAGCAGGCTCCCCGCCGAGCAGGGGGCCCGACGCGGGACTCGATCCCGGGACTCCGGGATCACGACCGGAGCCGAAGGCGGTCGCTCAACCGACTGAGCCACCCAGGCGCCCCTTGAAGGCTTTTCTTCCGTAACGATTTGTTCCACAGACTCATGGTTTAAAAGATCCATGAAGCACATCGGACTGGGCTAGAGCCCTTTCTCCGGTCCCGGGGAAGGTGTTTCTCTCCGACCGCCGACGCCTACCTTACAGGCCCTGTACAGGTACGTCCTGTCCTGCGTGAGGTTATAGAGCGTGAGGAACGCGTAGGCATTCCCCGCGGTGCCGTGGCACAGCCCATAGCCCTTCCGCAGCAGTCCGTGCCGCCAGGTCACGTGCGCACACTGGTAGGCGTGGTCGACGTACTGCTCCTCCCCGAAGACCTGTACAGCCGAGGGCAAGCCCGTTACAAGGGATATGAAAGAAACTCGTACTGACGTTCCTTCCTGATGGGAAAGCAAGGGAGGGCGGGAGCGGGGGAGACGGAGGTGGCTTGGCAAGAACGGCCGGGGAGACGGGTCGCGTCAGTGGGACGAATGAGAGGAGTTTACTAGCTTTGCTTTTTTTGCTTTTAAGTAACTGCCCACCACCTTGCCTGTGTGCCATCTACGTTTTATGTGCGCTCTGCCTACGGATGTAGGCGTTCCTGGAGAAGCAGCATTATTTTGCTTGTGACTTGCTGTTGGCAGTAGTCACTTTCCCAAGGACCACACGCTATCTTCCTTGGTTAGCAATAATGCCCTTCACTATTAGGACATTTCTTTACATACTGGAGAAGAAACTGCTTAGAAAATTGATTACAAAAATGGATTTGATTATAAAACACTATACTTTGTCAGAAAAATAGAGATACGCCTTTAAAATCTTCTATAGATCTATCAAAGACTCAAGAAATATTCTGAGTAGACATTTCTAATATTTCACTGCAAACTAAGTGTTCCTAAAAGTAGAATAAGCCAGTTTAAAAAGTTCTTCCATTATATCCAACTTTCTGCAAGTAAAATTTGATATACTAAAAGCTTAGAGTATGAGATGCCAATGCTTATTTATAGTCCATAGATTTGTAATTTGTAGATGTGCACCAATAGACACAGATACCTTGGTTTACTTCTATTTTTTTTTTTCTTTCAAATAAAACCCCTTTCTCCTCTGATTATGGCTCTGCCATAGCATGCTTTTTAGAAATGATATTTGCATTTCTTTTATTATAGTAAAAGAAAGAAAATATAAAAATTACAATTTTAATCATTTGAAGTATATAATTCAGTGGCATTCATTACCTTCACAAAGTTGTATAATCATTACCACTACTTCCAAAACATTTTCATCACCCCAAACAAGGTCTGTACCCATTAAATGATAATGCACCCCCACCCAGCACCGCCCCCTGGTACTGCCACTCTACTTTCTTTCTGTATGAATTTGCCTACTCTACATACCTCGTACTAACCATCACACCATACAAATGGAATCATACATTATTTGTTCTTTAGCATCTGGCTTATTTCACTTAGCATTAATATTTCCAAGGTTCATGCATGTTGCAGTATGGATCAGAAGTTCATTCTTTCATATGGCTCAATAATATTCCATTGTATATATGTATACATACACCACATTTTGTCTATCCATTCATCTGTGGATGGACACTTGAACTGTTTCCACCTTTTGGCTATTGTGAATAATGCTGCTGTGGAACATCTGTGTACAAGAATCTATATGAATCCCTGTGTTTAATTTTTTGGGTGTATATACCTAGGAGTTGAATTACTGAGTTATATATTAATTCTATGTTTAATTTTTTGAGGAACTACCAAACTCTCTTCTATGGCAGCCACACCATTTTACAATCCTACCAGCAATGCACAAGAAAGATTCTATTTTTTTTTTAAAGATGTATTTATTTATTTGAGAGAGAGAGAAAGAGTGAGAGAGAAAGTGTGGCGGGGAGGAGTAGTAGAAGGAGAGGAAGAGAGAAACTTAAGCAGACTCTGCACCGAGTGTGGAGTCTGGTGCGGGGCTCTTAAATCATCTGAGATCGTGACCTGAGCTGAAACCAAGAGCTGGGGACACGTAACTAACTGTACCACCCAGGTGCCCCTACACAGTGTTTTTTTTTTTTTTTTCTTTTCTTTTTTTTTTGGTGGGGGGGGGGGCAGAATCTTAAGCAGCCTCCATGTCACAACCCTGAGATCATAACCTGAGCTGAAATCAAGTCAGACCCTTAACCAACTGAGCCACCCACGTGTCCAAGAAAGATTCTATTTTTAACTGAATTTCTGGGATACTTCTCTTGGCTCTGCCACTGATGCTGTAATCTTGGCTATTCTACCTGTTAGTGAAACAGTCTCCTGACCAATGAAATAGTCTCTGCTCTGATATAGATGGATACTGTGAGAATGAATTATAATCCATGTAGCAAAGTGATTGTACATCCAACAGTAATTTCGCTACTGCTTCTTTAAAGATTACGCATAAAACAATTGCAAGTTATGGAGTTTTAGGTTACATTTTCCAAATTATTTTGAAAAGGAGAAAATTCACAGTACCTTATAGGCCTGGATGAGCATGTAGATCACTCCAGGTGCACCGTGACACCAATGGACTAGAAGATCTCGATTATCATCCACACACGGAGGATAATTGCCAGAAGGAAATTTCAGCTGGCAGACATAATCTACACTGGGCTTGACCAAACTTTGTAACTTCACATGGTTCACTTGAAGGCTGGGCTAAAAATGAGAAAGGGAATTATTAGTTTTGCTAAAGCAAACAGATCTTCCTAAACCTCAGGGATAAGTTTTGTGTATGTTTTAAAAGGAGGGAGACAGAGATAGAGGGGGTGGGAGAGACAGAGGGAGAGAATTAATCCTAAGCAGACTCCAGCCCAGTGCGGAGCCTGACGCAGGGTTTGATTCATGACCCTGAGATCATGACCTGATCTGAAATCAAGAATCGGATGCTTAACCAACTAAGCCGCCCAGGTGCCCCTGGGATTAGTTTTAAGCCAGAAATGAAACATGACCAAAAGGAACTAGAAGTCACTAAACGGTTGGATTCCATTCCAATTTTTTTTAACTGACTGGAACATACTAAAATCAGGATATCCCTTAACTCTTGGGACTTTATGTACATACTATTTTTCAATATTTATCGTTGTATACATACATATAAATAATTTTCCTAAGTCAATGCACGAACACAAGAGATGTTTCTTAAGGTTTTAATACCTTAGGCATACTTTATTTAATTTTTATTGGCAGTAGGCTCCACACCCAGCATGGAGCCCAATGTAGGACTTGACCTCACGATCAAGAACTGAGCTGAAATCAAGAGTTGGACGCTTAACCAACTGAGCCACCCAGATGCCCCAATACCTTATTCATACTTTAAAGGCCACAAAGAGATGCATTAGACAATGTAAGTGCAACTTTCATTTTTACATTTAGAGAAGTGGTAGATGTTTCCAAAAAAAGAGGAAGCTAACGAGTCAGGAGACCTGGAATCTAGATCCCAAACTGCTGTGTGACTCTAGATTAAGCCTTCTGCAGAGGATTTGGGACTGACATTTATGCAGTATTATTTTGATACAATGATGTACAGATTTATAGGATGCACTAACAGGGCATTTGAGCCACTTTTTTTTTTTTTTTTAAAGAATTTGGCCTTCTTTTTTTAAAGATTTATTTATTTATTTTAGAGAGAGAGAGAGAGAGAGAGATAATGAGAGCAAGCATGGGGGGGGAAGGGGTAGAGGGAGAGGGAGAGAGAGAGAGAGAGAATCTCAAGCAGACTCCCCCTGAGCACAGAGCCCAACATGAGATCATGATCTGAGTCGAAAGCAAGAGTCTGGACACTCAACCAACTGAGCCACCCAGGCGCCCTGAGCCTCCATTTTTGATATAATGGTTTTAGTTTCTCCTTTTGGTCCTGTTCTTAATTCAACGCACTACTCACTTCTTCAAATAACAAATTCAAAGCGTTGTCCTTGTCAGGAGGGGGGGTGGGCATGTGGGTAAGGAGACAGCCCATGTTGTGATGCATAGGTACCGAATGTGCACTAAATTCTTGAGGGCATATATAGATTTCACTCTACCCAGAGAATATTGTTCCAGCTCAGTTTAAAATGCTGGAGTAGAAGGAGTGGATTTTCCTCAAATTTGCAGGAATTATCCAAAATGGGCTACAAATAATATTTTATGTTTATGATACTATGATAAAACATAGTATTATGTTTTATGTTTAATATTTTTATTTATGTTTATGATACATAAGTACCTACTGGAATGGACTTTCAGTATTAAAAGTTAAATCATTTCGGAGCGCCTGGGTGGCTCAGTCATTAAGCGTCTGCCTTCGGCTCAGGTCATGGTCCCAGGGTCCTGGGATGGAGCCCGGCATCGGGCTCCCTGCTCTGCGGGAAGCCTGCTTCTCCCTCTCCCACTCCCCCTGCTTGTGTCCCCTCTCTCGCTGTGTCTCTCTCTGTCAAATAAATAAATAAAATCTTAAAAAAAAGAAAAAAAGGTAAATTATTTCAAATAGACAATTATCTGCCGATGGAAGACTCAGAACGTAGGTCTCCAGATTTCACACTGCCACCAAAAGGAGGCAGCTGAAAGTAAGATGACTCTAACTCACCCCAAGACTGCACAATACATGAACTCTCCTTCCTGAAAACTTAAGAATATATATTTACTTCCGGAAATACAGAGCCAGTGGAGGTTGATGCCAGAAAAATAAAGGAGTCTAAGTCTGAACTGTCGAAACCCCTCATTATAAAACTCCTAATTGAGAAGTGCAGAACAAATACAAAAGTTGGTCTCTTACTGCCACTAACACTCAAAGTGGGACTTTGAATTCAAAAGCAATAATAACCTTGAGTTTTTCAGCTTCGTTGTCATTGTTTAGTTACAGGGAGACGGAAGGTCTGACACTGATTTTGCATTATTGCAGCCAGCTACTCAACCAGCTAATAGTATGTATATCCGAGCACTCACGCTGAACATATTAATGAAACACTTTTCTTTATGCTGCATTGTACTTTGGGAAGGTGAGGGGGGCACCTCTGCCGCCATTAAAAATCAACTGTCTTTAGCTATGAATTCTTATTCACAAGTGCCAATTTCTCTTTAAAGAGAGCTAAATAAGCCCCCGGAAATGATGCTCTCATGAAAAGTCCTCTTCTGACCTCCCCTTCCAGGTTATGCTTGCTGCAGTAAATCCTACTTGTCCTTAGTCTATTTGACTTTGGCTGATGTCTCCTAATAGTATTAGATCCAAAGAACGGCTGGGCATAGCGCATCCAGCTATTTAAGTTACACAAAATCCACTGAAAAGGCTCTGTGGCTTTGCTCTCCAAGTGAGTCATAGGCAACATATGCTCATTTGTTTTCTATTGATTTTGTTCTTTTGGAATTTGTTTCAGTGGGTGGTGTCTAATAATATGCAATAATATTAATTCAAGGCATTTGCTGAAAGGGCAGAGCAGAGCAGAAGGCACTTCATATGAAGTACAGGTCAAAATACTTCCGTCTGCAAAGCGGCACGAGGCAGGCAAGTACGGGTCACCTACAAATCAGACAGCATCCCACGGCACAGCGCCTTTTATGTTTATACACTGTAAAATGCACTCTGGCAAACATTGCCCTTGTTTGTCGAGGCCAGGAAATGGCAAGGAGAGTGAGGCAGTTGGTTGACAGAATGAAAAGCCAGAGGGGGAGCCTCGGTCTTCTTGCCCTGGCCCGGGCAGTGAGCAAGCGTGTTTCTCAGTTCCACCATCTTCATCTCTTACCTGCATCAGGTGGTAATAAATTCCTGCCAGGCCATGAGCAGCCCCCACATAATATTCTTGGTACCATTCATACATCAGTGGAGTCTTTGCTGTGAAGTTTCTCTTTCTGGCAAGGGTCTCTCCAGAGGTTAAGACTGTTTCACAAATCTACAGGGAGAAAACCGATCAAAATAATGAGAGAATCAAAATAAGAATCTTCCCGTAAGGAACTTTTTGCTAAGAGGTATGGAGAACATGGTGAATCAGACGGGGTCTTCCGGCCACGGATGGGCACAGTTTAATTCTGTGCTCAGGAAGCAGGGGTGACTGTATTCTGCCTAAAAGAGGGAGATATGGAAATTCTGAACTCTTTACTAGCGCTTATGCGAATTCACGTGACAGAGGAAAGCATGAGTTCTTCAGGCACGAAAGGAGACATCCGCACCTGGGAGGTGAAATCTGGCCCTCGTCTTCCGAAGGGCCGTGACACTCTCAAATGGAGCAGCCTGGACGTCTCGCTCCCAGTCGCTCTCTAAGTGTTTCCAGTGCACTCAGTGTGACGCTGTCAGCTCTCTGACCCCACCTGACCTTTTAGAGGCCTACACACACCTTCCTCCCACCCGGGCTATGCTAATTGGAGAAACAAAACCAAGAGTTCAGGCAGTTAACAACTGGGATCCTAAGAGGACTCCAAAAAGCACAGAAATGTGGTACCTGCTGAATATGGCTTTGAGCAATCTTTTCCACTCCGAAGTTCTTATTCACAAAGAGAAGGGCATAGATATAGCCCATTCGTCCATAGAGCATTTCATTTGGAGCATGGAGGTCAATCTTGTTCAGGTGAATTAGCCTGGCAATAAAAATACATGCCTAAGATAACCTGGAAGGGATCGGGTAGTGGTAGATACTTAAAAATGGTACACTTAAAAAATACACACACACACACACACAAATATATATTTAGGGGATTATATATTAAATTACTATTATAGTTATTTTATTTTTTTAAAGATTTTATTTTATTTTAAAAATTTTACTGGAGAGAGAGAGAGGGAGAGAGAGAGAGGAGATAGTGAGAGCGAGCAGGAGTGGGGGAAGCAGTAGAGGGAGAGGGAGAAGCAGACTCCCCGCCGAGCAGGGAGCCCGATGCGGGACTCGATCCAGGGACCCTGAGATCATGACCTGAGCCGAAGGCAGACGCTTAACCGACTGAGCCACCCAGGTGCCCCACTATTATAGTTAAACATTTTAAATATATTAAAATTAATTTATATATAAAAGGTAAATATTTTCATATATTTATATTATAAATTATATTATTATACATTAAGTGGGCTGAACCAGGCTACAAAGGGTAAATTAACCCTCAACTACCTTTTTCTTCAGTTCACAATGGAACTGACAAATTCAAAGAATAAAAGAAAAGGCATGTGTGGCTGAGGCTACCTGGCGCCTCCCTAGTTCCTCCTGGAGCTATGCCCTAAGACCAGCAGCTGGGGTCAGAGAAGCTAAGACCTGCTGCCCAGTACAGCATTTAGTCTGGAGAAAGGACTCAGTCACTCAAAGGGTCATCTGTTTCCATAACATGAAAAGCCTGCTGCACCGCAGTTACCTCCTTCTTTGGTTCATTTCTTAATATGTCCTCAGGCCTACCTGAAGGGTCTGTATGGCAGCATGATCTACCATAATCTACCATAATGCAAATGGCACAGAGGTATCAGTCAGCCTCCCTGTCTTCCCAGTCTCCCCTTTCCAGTCCTTCTTTTCAGAAATAACCATGGTTACCAAATTCTTGGATATTCCTAGACTTTCTTTATGCACATGTAAGCATCAATATGCATATCTATAAATATATCTCCCCAGATGTTCTGTGGCTTGCTATTTGACAATACATCTTGACAAACATTCTCTATCAGAGTAGTCTCATTCTTTATCATGGCTACATAGTAGTCCATCAAATGGCTATATGATAATTTATTAACTCTCTATCATTAGACTCAGTTCAGCTTTTCAGAAAAAGCTGTTTTTGGTTTTGGCTCCAGGTAAGATGGTGTAGGCACACTCTACCCAGCCTCTCTCGGTAAATGCAGCTCCAGGACCTGGAGAGAATGCACACTCTAAACAGTGAGCAGTAGCAGGCAGAGTGGGGAAGAGTGGGGAAGACCAGAATGTGAAGCACCACCAAACCAGTGGTGAGTTTACCATATTTTCGCCAATGGTATGCCCCTGGCTTGAAGCCAGAACAGCCCCAAATCTGGAAGTGGGCACCAAAGGCTGCAAGAGGGAGTCCTGGCAGAAGCCCTTTAGTTATGTTTCAAGAAAGAATCAGAAAGGGAACTCCTAGTATCAGAGAGAGTGGGCACAGCCCCTCAGTTTTCTTTATGTTTCCTTGTCTTCTGTTTTCTCACACTCCAGGCCACAAACAATCTCATGGTGGCAGCAGAAATGAAGGCAAGAGGAGCTCACAGAAGCCAAGTCTCTGAGGGAGGGACCCTTCCTCACAGACTGGAGAAGTAAGTGGTGGTCCCAGGAGGGTGGGGTGAACCCAATGCTTTGCTTCCTTCTCGCCTCCCCATCATTGGGCCCCAGATACAGGCACAGTGGTGGGAATACTTGGCAGAGTAGGGTAACCAAAGCCCCAGATTTCTTTCCAGAGAACCAACACGGGAAGCCCCAGGAAAGCAGAAAGCAGGTGAGGTTCACTAGAAAATGAGCTCAGGAAAACAACCATAAACTCAGAGAATGAAACTTTCTTCTTTTTGAGGGTGGTTGTGGGGGAAGGGGTGGGGAGGGTGTAGGAAAGCAAATAGGATATTTAGGGAAAATGTCTTTGTTATTTGGATTTTTATTACATGAAATTTTGAAAGTACATCTCAATTATCTCTAAATTATCCTATATATTCAATGTGACACCATTTAAGTTACGTTTTAAAGCAATATAATTTTTGGTGAGACTTGACAAAATGGCTTTAGCATGCTGGAAAAGTATGAGGGAAGAGCCAGGGAATTTCAGGAAAAGAGCAGTAATGAGAGGACATCAGCCCTACCAAATAATGGCTTTGTCATCAGCGAGCTTAGGACACTAAACATACTACTTGATGACAAAGCCATTATTTGGTTGTGAAACTCTCTTGTTCTCTATGTGGTAATTTACTTTCAAAGTAGTTAAGTATAACCAGGGCCTGTGCATGCATCTCACCTAACTTTAGTCTATGCATTAGGAATTATAAGCATACGAACACTATAGAATGTAAGTCCTCCGATAAGCATGTGAAGTATCCACAATCACACCTCTGGGGTGACTGGTTATATCTGAAGTGTTCTTATCAGGAATCACCATTCAGAGGCATCTGGCCCTTCAGATAACTTTACCAAAATCTACACCAGAGGATTTGCTGGTAAATATAGTAAAAAAATGTTAGCAGGTGGCTTTTTGTTGGTGGAGTGGGTGATGAAGATAGGTGGAAGGCTTGGGAGAGGGTCCAGACTCTATTACTGTTTGAATAAGACCTAGTAAGATTGTCTGGGGACAGTGTGGTTTTCTCTGAGCCATAAGAACAGGACAGGACACTACTTGTGTGTATGTGTGTATATCTTCTTCCTAATCAATGTTTGCACATTTGGTTTATTTGGCAGAATCTGGTCCACTGCTTGTGCTTTCATTTTAACACACTTAGTGGTAAGGTTAGAGCTGACGGGGTATATAACTCCTACTGCTAATCTCTGGAGGCCACTAATAGCTACAAAAACCCAAAAACAAACAGGCAAACAAAAACCGAACAAGTGCTGCCACTGAGCTATAACCAACCGGTGTAGCGAAGAGTGTCCTGGCTCCCAAGAGAGGGTACTTGGGAAAGAGCAGACAATTCCCCTCTCCCAACCCTCCCCTCCACTTCCATAAGCCTGTGGCGAGGGGAGGGAAACACCATGTTTTAATAACCAGAATGAGATGCTTTTAGTGACTGAGAGGGGCCAACACTTCTGAAACAGACTGAGAAAAAGTTATAAAAGTATCCTTAAGGGAATTCTCTCCCCATCAGGAAAAGAGGGGTGTGAAAAAGCATGGCGGGTTGCAGTTACTGACAAAGTTAGATTATACCTCAACAAATGGAGGCATCTCATCAAATTGGTTAAACACGCTTGGTTTTTCTTCTATAAATATAAGCATTAAACTCACAGTGGAATAGTGGTTATCTTAGGAATAGGGACATGGTGGCCAAAGGTTACTTTTCATTTTCTTGTATACTTTGAATTTTTCCCCAATGTCAACAGGGCTGTCTGGATGGCAGAATTATGGGCCATTTTGCTACTTTAAAATCATAATACACACACACACACACACACACACACCCTAATATTTTTAAAGAACTTAAAAAACATTTATTAAGAAAAATTCTATTTTTTTCTCATGTCACAACTGGCAGCTCAGTAATGTTGAGATCTTAAGAAAATAAAATCTTTTTACTAGATACAAACTCAACTGTTGTAGGAAACAGAAGGACTATCTCAGAGTTTTGATTTAAGAATTTATTATCAAGTTTTGATGATTATTATCAATTTAATATCAAATTGCATAGACTTTACATATAAAAAAGCATGTTGCTTTACTTTTGTAAAGGGAATTGAATTATTCAAAAAGAAAAATTCCTGTGAATTTTTTAAACAAATGGCTCTATGGAAGTTACTTGGAACAATTATCGCATGAGCTCCAAAGATGTTCTCACCTAAATGTGTTTGAACCACATTTCCTTTATTTGCCAACCTTATGGATTGTATTACCCCTAGGTGGAGATATATAATTAGCATTCCAATTATTTTGCAGCCAAACTCATTTGCATTTGGGAAGTTTAAAGTAGACAACAGATACCTTTCAAATACTTGAAAATGAAGTACTGCTTAGAGCATCTTGTTAAAATAATATTTTACAGTTTAGGGTAAAAAAGGAAGTATTCTTTTTTTTTTTCTGGATTTGAATTCAAGTCATTAAAACTCCTGAGCTGGGTCTGATGATTACTAAAGGCAGGACTTCTAAATGCAGGTTTTACATGCTATATTCTCAAGATAAAGTTAAGAAATGATAGCATTTGTAAATCATAAAGGTTATTTTATGTGTTTTCAAAAACTCTCAAACCCAGAAGCACAACACTGCAGCCCCATTTGTTTTGCTACGTTGATATTAATAGCAACCAATCTTCAGAAGAGACAGGTCACTGAAATGTCACTGAAGGAAGAATGGAGACTTAGAAAACCAGCATAGTTCTGTTCCACTCCTGGCAATATAAGTCCCCAGGGTTTGACTGGGGAGAGTTTTTACCTTGTATCATCTAAAGGTTTGTAACTTTTTAAAAAGAAGTCCTTTTCTTACTCATCACACTACAAAAGAGAGTCTACACTTCCTGATCAGAAAGCCAAAACCCTTGGTCATTCTGAATAGCGGCCCCACACAGCACTAGATCTGTGCGGTTAGTGACTTAGTGGGGTATTGTAAACAGGCAACGTTCTCTTTGAGTAGTGGCACCAACTCCCTCTGTGTGGAAGGAAGGTGAAAATGAACCCGGTACAAATCAAACAGCAGGAAAAATTGGTGCTACTGATTCTCTTCCTTGCCACCTGCCCCAGCCAACTGCAGGACATTCTGATCATGAACAGACACACGTGCACATGCGCACACACTCCTTTTTGGGGAGTCACAGACTCCTCCAAAAAAGTGTAAATGTTCTCTCCATGCTGAATACAATTTGGGGATTTTATACCTTTGGAAGCCCTAAGATTCTCAGGGCCCCAAATTTAAGAATCCCTACCTTAGGGAAACACTGACTTCTTTGATCTCTAAAACTCAGAATTACAATTCTGAAAGACTATATATATATACATATATATATATATATATATTTTTTTTTTTAAGATTTTATTTATTTATTTGAGACAGAGAGAGAGAGAGAACACAAGCAGGAGGAGAGGGGCAGAGGCAGAGGAAGAGCAAGAAGCAGACTCTCCAAAGAGCAGGGAGCCCGATGTGGGGCTCGATCCCAGGACCCTGGGACCATGACCTGAGCCGAAGGCAGACGCTTAATGACTGAGCCACCCAGGTGCCCCTGAAAGACTATTGTATTAAGAAACCATAGGAAAGGTAAGCTGAAAAATGACGTTGGTGGTGGAGCACAACACAGAGGCCATGTAGAGAACGTGAGGGTCTCTGATAGCTCCAAAGGCCTATGTGATATAGGAAAGAAGTTTCAGTAAAAAGTAAAACAACCAAGTAGGTTTATTAAATATCTGATGACATCCAATCATTTCAATTGAGTTGCAAAAACTTACAGATTTTTCCCTTAAAAGGGAGGAGATGTGAAAGTAATTTACACATAATTCCTTTTTTCTTCCTGTTCTGTCATGAACTCTAGAAATTTGACAAATCAAAACTGTGGCCATAAATGGCCTATTTTCACTATCTGCATTCTATATATTTAATCTTAACAAATCTACTGGCTATAAATAAAATACTGTTGAAACATTGTAAAAGTTTTTAAAAAGATATAAATAACAAAAACACCTTTGTTATCAAGGTATCAAAAAACTTTAGTTTACTTTTAAGAGTGTTTTATAAATAAACCAATATTAATATATGGTACTGTGCCCCAAAGACGGTTTCTTACAACAGCAGGCTCTAAAATGTCACGAGGAAAAGGGTTATCTACTTGACAAGTTTGGCAAATTTCACTCCCTAGAGTTGCCAGAGTTTCACCCACGTGTCAAAAGCTCCTGACGACTCTGAGCAGCCAGTAAAGGTGTATATTTAACTGTGCTTAAATAGTGTTTCCCCTGTCTGAATACACAAATCTTGTTTTTACTTTTCACACTGCAAACTATTACTATCTGGCTGCACATACACTGAGAAAGGCTGGCATTACATATAGAACATTGGGACCACTATGGCTTATTTTTACGATACTTAAGAGTGACTCACTGAATGAGACTTCCTTCTGAGCCTCTAAAGCAAATGTGTGGCTAATGGCTTTAAACTGGCCGCAAAGAAATAGAAAGGTAGTTTCTGCTTTGCAATGCATTTGTCAAAACTCAACAAATATACATAAAACTTGGGCAGCATATTTTGTATAACCTTTACGTCAAAAGAAGAAAACTAAACAGATATTGAACTCTAGTAAATGATATATATGCTTTAATATTTAGAAGGAAGGGTACTGATGTCTGCAATTCACTCTGAAATGGATAGATGGATTAGATATGTGATAAAGCAAGTACAGAAAAATGTTAATGGTAGAATCTATGTGGGTAGATATATAGGTATTCACTACTGTTTCAACATTTCTGTATGTTTGAAATTTTTCATAATAAAATTTTGAGGGGGAGAAAAAACTCTAGTTATTAGAATTTTAGGCCAAAAGCCTGTTAATGAAATACACACCACTGCACAGTGTAAAATTCACCAAAGATCCTCCACAAACAAAATCAGTGATGAAAATGCCATTCTAATAGTAATTATAAGAAAAAGTAGTGGGAATCAAAAACCATGGTCAAACTGGAGGTAATCACTGATTATAATGTTGCTGGACCCAATTAAAAAATGGGTGGAAGACCTTAACAGACATTTCACCAAAGAAGCAATACTAATGGCAAGGAAGTATATAAAAAGATGCTCCACATCATACGTCATCAGGGAAATGCAAATTAAAACAACGAGATACCACTACACATCTACTAGAATGGCCAAAATCTGGAACCCTGGCAAGGATGTGGAGCATGAGGAACTTTCATTCATTGCTTGTGGGAATACAAAATGGTACAGCCACTCTGGAAGATAGTTTGGAAATTCTTACAAAACTAAACATACCCTTACAATATGATCCAGCAATTGTACTCCTTGAAATTTACCCAAAGGAGCTGTAAACTTATGTCTGCACGAAACCCTGCAGAATTGGATGTTTACATTAGCTTTATTCATAACTGCCAAAACTTGAAAGCAATCAAGATGTCCTTCGGTAGGTGAATGGATAAACTACGGTACATCCAGACAGCGGAATTCTACTCAGTGCTAAAAAGAAATGAGCTAACATACCACGAAAAGACATGGAGGAGCCTTAAATACGTATTGCTCAGTAAAAGAAGCCAATCTGAAAAGACTACATATTGTAATATTTCCAACTATGACATTCTGGAAAAGGCAAAACTACGGAGACAGTAAAATAATCAACAGTAGCCAGGGGTCAGGGAGCAGGGAAGAGGGATTAACAGGCGGAGCACAGTGGATTTTTGGGGCAGGGCAACTACTCTGTATGACAATATAACGATGGATACATGTCATCATACATTTGTCCAAACCCACAGAATGCACAACACCAAGATGTAACTAATGTAACTAATATAAACTATGGACTTCGGGTGATATATGCCTGTCCATTGTAACAAGTGTATCACTCCAGTGGGGAATGTTGATACTGGGGGAGGCTATGCATGTATATGAGAAATCTCTGTACCTTCCTCTCAATTTTCTGTGAACTGAAAATTGCTCTAAAAAGTAAAGGCTATTAAACAACGAAACACAACCAAAAGCCTTTGCTGGAATTGCAACTCTGCGTGTGGACACACTCAGTGGGAGCCTAACAGCACTGCATGTAGAGTTGCATGGCTGCCAGAATTCTGAACAGAATTCTTCGTGCTCAATAAACTCTAGTAAAACAATAATTGTAGTTTATTAGTACACAAGTTTAGTAATTCTTCATAATTCACAAGCTTCTAGTGGGCTTCCCCGATCTCTGTTAAAAATAAAAATCTGGATTTGCATGTTATTTGCTCCTAAGAAAAGCAATTTTGAGTCAAAATTGAGGCCTTCCCCAGCCCATCACAGGAAATGAACCACATTTTTCAAATTATTGATCTTGGATAGCACCTTGGATTAGTAATCCCAGGATTAGGCTTCTGATCTCATTTTTGTTATTAAACTGATGTTTGATCTGGTGTGGGTCAGTGTCATGACATCTTACAATAAAATAGGGAACTTTACTGGTTGTTCCTTAACTACATCGGAATGATGTGCGATGTGATCAAATGACAGTAGTAAGATTTATTGCTGAGGGAAAAGTAACTTCACTAAAATGTTCTTTTGCTAATACACATACAGAATTAATATGTAATGACGTCTCGATAATAATCCTCGAAAAGAAACATGATTACCGGGTGATGCAGTCTTCTGCCTGCTTCTCATTGTTCATCTTGTGGTACACCACGGCGCCCACGGCCAGGGGGCCTGCGTCCCCGCACAGGAAGGTGATGGAGCGCTTGGTCAGACTGTTCAGACTTTGCTTTACGTAGCCGTGTGCCATCTGGAGGTAAGCGGGGTCCCCGAACACATCATAGAGATGTAAGTAAAGCAGAGCGATACCTGGGAAGCAAAAAGAAAATCACGTGAAGATGAGGAACGGGCTGCTGACTGCATTACTTTGGTTTGTTGCCAACTCAGCAGTGTTGATTGTTGATGAACCATAACACATATGTAAACTATGCGTAAGTTCAGATGACCTTAGTTCTAGACACAGCTTTACTACCAAGCAGCTCTAAGAACCAGACACAGGCACTCACTCTGTTTCTTCATCACTGCAACCGTAAAGAAAAGACACTTCGAGACCCTCGGAGAACTCTAACCTAAGTTTATTATTAATCCTTGTCCCACTCTGGCTCTTGTGTGTTCATGTATTATTCTTGATGGTTACATGACAGCTTATCAAAACCATGGTTCTAAACAGTCACCTGTTTATTTAACAAATAATCATTTACTTTAATCAATAAACAAGTAACATTTGTTCTTGTGAGCTAAAAAAAATTTAAAGACTAGGGAGTGAAAAACTCAATTTCTCCTTATAAAGAAGTTAAGTTTTTGAGTGAGAAGGAAGGTAGAGTAACCAAATTCCCTACTCCACTATCTTTCCAGGCAGAGATTATAAGAAAACTACTGTGAGGTAGAGAGATCTGAGAAAATAAATTCAATCCCTCCTTAATTTTTTTTTTTTTCTCTGCCAAGGACCCGGCCACGTTAGGAATTATGGTGTAAAAACTGCCAATAACGTTTGCTTTGGGCCATACTCGATTTGCTTCTTAACCTGCTCTTGAAGCCTGCTATATATATAATTGAGGCATTGTCTGAATGTCCTTATTCCAAATGCCTGTCACAGTAGATAGAGCCTTCCCTCTGAAGCCGACTGGTCTCAGGGCAGACTCAGAGATGTGGAGTAGAGAACCCGCCTGCCTGCAGCATTTCCAGAAACTCATTTCTCCCCTTAAAGTACATTTTCCATCTCATTTACCATTTTTAGAAGATACAGAGTCTCTGTTTAAATCTAAATTAATAGAGCCCATCTCTTCATGGATTTCAGTGCAGTAAAAACGCAGTCTGCAAAATTACTTTTCACTGTACTGAGGACAATTTTAAATTTAGATAGTTTTCTCATTTTGCATGGGTAATCTCCAAAGCTTTGTGCTACAGACAATTCAATTTCTCATGTATATTAAGGCCAAATTTTCATTTCCTGCCAAAGTTAATAACCTTGTTCTGCTCTTTCAAAGTGGCTTGGTGTTTGTAATTCCACAAGCTGATGATCAGACGTACCAGTGCTGAAGGTTTGTAGACATAAGTGTACAAAACCACGTATGTAAGAAAAAAAAATCTCCTTTTCACAAATGATCAATGTCAAGAGCTTCTTCTACAATTAGGTTCTTAAATGGCTTCATCTCCATCCACACCAGGCACCTGCTGGTGATCCGTTTACATTGTTACCCTTTCATTTTGGCCTCCTATTCCCATTGCTGCCTCAACTCCCCTAATTAAGTTCTGTAAGCACCACAGCCAGATAATGACATGACTGAGGTCTGAGAAAATACGAAGTTATTAAATACAAGCCCAATGATTGTTTTCCTTTTCAGACCTTTGTCTCTCATTATCAATTCCTCTTGGCCTAAATCTTTAACAAAACCCATTACAGTTTGCAATTTTTTTTTTTTTTAAAGATTTTATTTATTTATTTGAGAGAGAGAGAATGAGAGACAGAGAGCACGAGAGGGAGGAGGGTCAGAGGGAGAAGCAGACTCCCTGCCGAGCAGGGAGCCCGATGCGGGACTTGATCCCGGGACTCCAGGATCATGACCTGAGCCGAAGGCAGTCGCTTAACCAACTGAGCCACCCAAGCGCCCACAGTTTGCAATTTTAAGGCCGGATGCATTTCTCACGACAAACAGGTAGTCATTTCTCCAGTCCACAATATTTCATTTAGATGAAAAACTTTTTTCTTTTTGATCAGCAGAGAATTCTCTCTCCAGCTTCTGGGATTCTACAACCTCAGGTTCTGGTTCTCTCCTTTGTCTCATTCTGGGCCTCAGTATCCATATATTTTGATTAAGCAATCTGCTGCACCTCGCAGTTTATGGTGTCTACTTCCTGTCACAAAACACCCATGACGAAAAGGGTTTCAAGTGAGGAGGGCTGCTGCCAATTTGAAAAAGTGTCCTGGACAAGCCTTCTAGAAATCAGTCTAGGTCCAGGGTATAAGACAAAATATGGAAGTCAAAGACATCTAATGCCTCCTCAATACTGTATATCCTACATGCCCTAATTTAATAGAAAAATGGGGAACTGTGTGTACCTAGAAGCCTTGAACCCAATCCTTATGGTCTTCCAACCTTTAGCAATATTTATGCACATAATATCACCTTTGCATAAATACCAAATGCTGAGAGGTAACTGGCAAGGTGGGAAATAAAGATACGACCTACAACATCCTTTCCTGATTAAAACTCTCCAGAGTATAGGGATAGAGGGAACATTCCTCAAGTTCATAAAATCCATCTATGAAAAACCCACAGCGAATATCATCCTCAATGGGGAAAAGCTGAGAGCCTTTCCCTTAAGATCAGGAACACGTCAAGGGTGCCCACTCTCACCACTATTGTTCAACACAGTACTAGAAGTCCTAGCAACAGCAATCAGACAACAAAAAGAAAAGGTATTCAAATTCGCAAAGAAGAAGTCAAACTCTCTCTTTTCGCAGACGACATGGTACTTTATGTGGAAAACCCAAAAGACTCCACCCCCAAATTACTAGAACTCGTACAGCAATTCAGTAATGTGGCAGGATACAAAATCAATGCACAGAAATCTGTTGCTTTCTTATACACTAACAATGCAACCTTAGAAAGAGAAATTAGAGAAACGATTCCATTTACAATAGCACCAAAAACCCTAAGATACCTCGGAATAAACCTAACCAAAGAGGTAAAGGATCTATACTCTAGGAACTACAGAACACTCATGAAAGAAATTGAAGAAGACACAAAAAGATGGAAAAACATTCCATGCTCACGGATCAGAAGAATAGACATTGTTAAAATGTCTATGCTACCCAGAGCAATCTATACCTTCAATGCCATCCCGATCAAAATTCTAATGACATTTTTTAATGCTGGAACAAACAATCCTAAAATTTGTATGGAATCAGAAAAGACCCCGAATTGCCAAGGAAATGCTGAAAAAGAAAAACAAAGCTGGGGGCATCACGTTGCCCGATTTCAAGCTATATTACAAAGCTGTGATCACCAAGACAGCATGGTACTGGCACAAAAACTGACATACAGACCAATGGAACAGAACAGAGAGCCCAGATACAGACCCTCAACTCTATGATCAAATAATCTTCGACAAAGCAGGAAAAATATGCAATGGAAAAAAGACAGTCTCTTCAATAAATGGTGCTGGGAAAATTGGACAGCCACATGCAGAAGAATGAAACTCGACCATTCTCTAACACCATACACAAAGATAAACTCAAAATGGATGAAAGACCTCAATGTGAGACAGGAATCCATCAAAATCCTAGAGAAGAACATAGGCAATAACCTCTTTGACATCGGCCACAACAATTTCTTTCAAGATACATCTCCAAAGGCTAGTGAAACAAAAGCAAAAACGAATTATTGGGACTTCATCAAGATAAAAAGCTTCTGCACAGCAAAGGAAACAGTCAACAAAACAAAGAGGCAACCCACAGAAAGGGAGAAGATATTTGCAAATGACACTACAGATAAAGGGCTGGTATCCAAGATCTATAAAGAACTTCTCAAACTCAACACCCAAATAATCAAGTCAAAAAATGGGCAGAGGACATGAACAGACACTTCTGCAAAGAAGACATACAAATGGCTAACAGACACATGAAAAAATGTTCATCATCATTAGCCGTCAGAGAAATTCAAATCAAAACCACATTGAGATACCACCTTACACCAGTTAGAATGGCAAAAATTGACAAGGCAAGAAACAGCAAATGTAGGAGAGGTTGTGGAGAAAGGGGAACCCTCTTACACTGTTGGTGGGAATGCAAGTTGGTACAGCCACTTTGGAAAACAGTGTGGAGGTGCCTCAAAAAATTAAAAATAGAGCTACCCTATGACCCAGCAATTGCACTACTGGGTATTTACCCCAAAGACACAGATGTAGTGAAAAGAAGGGCCAGATGCACCCCAATGTTCATAGCAGCAATGTCCGCAATAGCCAAACTGTGGAAAGAGCTGAGATGCCCTTCAACAGATGAATGATTAAAGAAGATATGGTCCATATATACCATGGAATATTAGTCAGCCATCAGAAAGGTGAATACCCAACTTCTACATCAACATGGATGGGACTGGAGGAGATTATGCTAAGTGAAATAAGTCAAGCTGAGAAAGTCAATTATCATATGGTTTCACTTATTTGTGGAACATAAGGAATAGCATGGAGGACATTAGGAGAAGGAAGGGAAAAATGAAGGGGGGGAATCAGAAGGAGAGATGAACTATGTGAGACTATGGACTCTGAGAAACAAAACTGAGGGTTTTAGAGGGGAGGGGGTGGGGGGATAGGTTAGCCTGGTGATGGGTATTAAGGAGGGAATGTACTGCATGGAGCACTGGGTGTTATATGAAAACAATGAATCGTGGATCACTGCATTGAAAACTGGTGATGTAATGTATGGTGACTAACATAACATAATAAAATAAAATTTAATAGGAAAAAAAAGATACAACCTCAAGGGCTCGGCAGGGAAAACTCACCCAGTCCCCTTACATATACTCGCAGCCCTGGCCTCTGCCTATGCTTTTAAAAACTCTTTTCAGAGGTGCCTGGGTGGCTCAGTCGGTTAAGCGTCTGCCTTTGGCCCAGGTCATGATCCCAGGGTCCTGGCATCAACCTCCACATTGGGCTCCCTGCTCAGCGGGGAGCCTGCTTCTCCCTCTCCTGTTCCCCCTACTTGTGCTCTCTCTCTCTCTCAAATAAATAAATAAAATCTTAAAAAAATGATTTAACAAACTCTTTTCAAATGTAATTTTTATCAAAATAAATTTCTTCTTCATGGA